CCAGCTTTAGCATTAGTGGTCTGCCGCATAAGCAATCTGATGCTTACCATACCTGTAATCACTGATGAATTTCGTACTAAAGGCTTCAGGAACGTCTATATAGCAATGGGTCTTACGGCAGTAATCATTACTGTTAACTATCTACAGGTAAAAATTTTGTTTGGATTTATAGGAAGAAAATAGTGCATTGCATTTTTTTTAATGAATAATTTAAAGATAGAAAAAAATTGGTTCATTTTTTCAACAGAGCTAATTGGTTTACTTTAATCAAAATTTTTTTACAAAGTTTGAAAGCTTGTAAAAACTTATTTCTCTCAGTTTGGAGAATTCACAAGTTGTATGGTTCAAAAGAGATACTGGGCAGTATTCTACAAGCGTTTAAATTTTTCAGTACATGTGTTTCTCAGTGGCATGTACAAGAATCACTGCCAGGATGCGGAGCTATTTTTTACAAGCAGTTCTTCGTCAAAACGCTGGTTGGTTTGACAATCACCACAGTGGCGTCATAACAACTCAACTAAACGAGTAGGCGACGTTGTTTTCTAAGTTATTCATGAAATTACAGCATATCTGTCGTGAAAAAAATGATTTATTTGTACTGATTTCTCGGCTTGATTTTTGTTGGGAAATAATAAGATTGTAAGAGATTTTGTAAGCAATTTTGTAAACAGAGAGTTATTATTTTTTACTTATAGCAACATTGACCGTATTCGAGAAGGGATTGGAGATAAATTAGGGCTGCTTGTTCGTGGTACAGCAATGTTTTTTACAGCTTTAACTATTTCATTTATATACCAATGGCGAATTGCTCTTATAATGTTTCCAATTACACCAATTTCTTGTTTTATGATGGCTCAACTTGCGCAGGTTAGTGGTAAATTTCAATTTTATAAATTTTTCAGCATAAAATGCAGTAATAAATGATGCCTCATTCAAGGACTGCAACAACAAAGTCAGTTAAATAGGTTTAGTTGATGTACTTACAACCATGTTTGCAGACGTTGGAAAATTTGACTGAGAAAGAGTTGGTGGGAGTTGGTAAGGCAGGTTCGATAGCTGAAGAGGCTATATTAGGTGTACGGACTGTTCAGGCATTCAATGGTCAAGATGAACTTGTTAATCGATATGAAGAAGAATTGAGTAAAGGAAAACGATATGGAATTATTAAAAGTGTATTTGGTGGTTTGTCTGGTGGCGGCTTTTACCTCTTCTTGAATGTATTTGCAGGAGCAGGAAATTTGTAATTTTTAATTGTTTTTATTAAAACTCATTGACAACAATTGTAAAGGTTTTCGTGTCTTTTTTTAATCATGCAAAACAACAGCTGTTGTTTACAGTTGAAAAAAATTTCCTTCTCTTGTAGTGCTTCATCTTGGATTAATTTTTTTACAGTTTATAAAAAACTGCAGGATTACTGCTGTATTTTATTAATATTAATTCATTTATCGTTTTAAACGTCGGAATTTTTTCATGGCTGACACATTGCGATTGCTGCTAAGCAGGTATAGTTGAATAAGTGACTGCTCAAAAGTTTTAGTCTACGAGAAAAATTCAAGTTGTTAAATTCTAAAGGATTGTAAATAGTTCTTAGGAGCCTCATAGATGTTATGGCTATGGAGCAATGAAATCTAATAGTGTCTTTTGTAATCTAAATGCTGCTTCATTTCTAGGCATAAATAAGCTCTGCAACTGTGTTGTCTTAAAATTAACGTTATATTGAACAGAAGACAATTTTAATTGCAGTTTTAAATAAAGTAACCACAACTATGCAACTTAAGAAAGTTAATGAAGAAAACTTGCTTTGAAGTTGTGACTTAGTAGTAAGCTAAACGACTTATTGAAAGAAGATTTTTGTTGGTTATTACTAAATCATGCTGTACCGCTTAGCCTGTAATCAAAAAAGTGCCTCTTGCCAATGAGATAAATTAAGCAGAAGACTTCCTTTTGTAAAGAGAAAGAAATGTACAAACTTTTTAGATACGGTGGATACTTGCTTCATGATGGAATAATGAACAAACCCGGAGATGTGTTTACTGCAGTGATGGTTATGCTTATGGGCGCTTATTTTCTTGGTCTTATCAGCCCACATTTGATGGTGATGCTTAATGCTCGAGTATCTGCCGCTATCATTTATCAAACAATTGATAGGGTACTTTTCACTCTTAGTTTTTTGAAGTTATTCTAAGTAAATTAACTTAACTTGCGATTCTTGTAAATTATTTGTTGCTCTGCTTTTATTTTGCCAAATTTTTTTAGAAATTGAGCGTAGTCGGTAAGATAATTATAATTCCACGAAAGTATGAGGTAGAAAAAAGTGTTTGTAAGTATTGGTAAGTATGCTGGATACCTTAAAATGACGGTTATATTGTCTTCCAAATATCTATTTTTTAGACACCAAAAATCGACGTTTACTCAAGATTAGGAAAAAAACCAAAAAATGTTCGCGGAAGAGTAGTTTTCAAAAATGTTCATTTTCGATATCCTACACGAAAAGATGTCAAAGTACTGGATGGACTAAACGTCGAGATTGAGGCTGGCAAAACAGTGGCGTTCGTCGGTCACAGGTTTTAGTTGTGACTGTTGAAAAAAATAACTTTTAAATTTTTTACTGGAACAGTTTTTGAAACTGTTGAATAAAAGCTGTCTGGCGTAATTTTTTAATATTTTAAATTTTAAATTTTTAGTAAACTGAAACATCTTTTCTCCTTGTTAGGAAAGTGGAGGTCTAAGTTTTTTTAATCTTTAAAGGGCTGTTTCTGCAACCAAATAAAATTCGATTATATAACTTTTTTCAGACAAGCATTTTATATAATATATTTTCAATTTATATATATCAGATAAATATAAGTGTCAAAATCAAAGATTTATGTGGTCTACTTCTGGTTTCAAAAGCTGATAGAAGTGTACGATTATCTAATTTAATATAAGCACTTGCTTGTAAATCCTACCTTAATCTTTCCACGACTTTTAAGGCTAATGTTATGACAATGTTTTACTAATCTGACGCAGAAGAGTAGTTTTGAGAGTATTAATTTTTGTAATTCTTTAGTTAGCAGGTCACTTTTCGTTAATACTGTTTCGTACAAGTTAGTAACTAGCAAAAAGTTCAAAAAATTATCAAAACAGACCAAATTTTTGGTCTGTTATAATAAATTTTTGAGGTAGGATTTACGAGCAAATGCTTGTATTAAATCAGATAATCGTACACTTCTATAAGCTTTTGAAACCAGAAGTAGACAACGTAAATCTTTGATTTTGAGACTTATATTCATCTGATATTCATAAATTGAAAGTATCTATATAAAACGCTTGTTTGGAAAAAGTTTTATAGTCGAATTTAACGGTTACTTGATTGCAGAAACAGTTGTTTAAAGATTAAAAAAACTTAGACCGTCACTTTCATAACGGGGAGAAAAGATGTTTAAATTTAAAAAAATTTAAAATTCAAAATATTCAAATATTACGCTAGACAGCTTTTATTCAACAGTTTCAAAATCTAACTATACGGAACAGCAGCATTATTTTGCAATTACTTATGTGTGATTGAGACAACGATCTGTAGCGCATTTGGTTGCGAGATAACTAGAGCGTGGTCTGTGACTGTGCTAACATTTTATTACACTTCCGTTCAGCATTCTGAAAAAATTATAGCTGAGATAGTTAATTGTATTTATTTAAAACTACACTAAATGTAGAAATTAAATGTTTTTCCAACTTAGGCGAAACGTAAATAGTTAGACATTTACAGTATCTATAATAGTAACACAAATGGCAATTTCTACAACCACTTTTGGAGCAGTTATTTTCAGTGGTTGTGGTAAATCAACTTCTGTGGGCCTCTTGACTAGACTGTACGAACCAGAATTTGGTGCAGTAACTATTGATGGAATAGATGTTCGAGAATATAATATTGCATACTTAAGAAATGTTATAGGCATTGTGCAACAAGAGCCTGTTCTTTTTAATGATACTTTGGAGAACAACCTTAGGTTTGGCGCGCCAGATGCAACTCTGGAACAAATGAAAGAGGCTTGTCATATGGCAAATGCTAATTCGTTTATCGCAAAACTTCCACAGGTACTTTAAATCCTGTTAAAAATCTTCACCAATTTTCTTACTCTTTCGTTTGTCTTGCATATCTTTTAGACAATCAGTTATGCGTTGTACCTGAGTAAAATACAGATGAAGAAATGTAGCTTATCGTCAAATAAAGTTTTAGGGTTATAAAACTCGGATTGGAGAAGGAGGAGTTCAACTTTCTGGTGGTCAAAAACAGAGGATTGCAATTGCTCGAGCTCTTGTAAGAAACCCAAAAATTTTACTTCTTGATGAGGCTACCAGTGCACTAGACGCTCATTCTGAAGCTGTTGTTCAGGTGCGAGAACATTTAACTAACATTCTGATTTATTTTTCTCAATTTTTCAGTGATTCCTGAAATAACGAAGGATATTAACTGAAACATTAGCTACCTAACAGGTTCTTGTAGGAAGCTTTGAATAATGCAGCAATAGGACGCACAACTATTATGATTGCTCACCGTCTCTCTACAGTGAAAAATGCAGATAAAATTTGTGTATTTGAGAAGGGCACCATTGTTGAACAAGGTTTGCTAAGCATTTTTTTATTTATTTTTTAACCGTTCTGAGAATTAACTTTAAGAATTTTAATATAGTCTAGTGTAGAAAAAAGACGTCTTTTTCACTCAAACCGTTTATTACTACCGAATTTTGTTACTGTAATTACGTGTCTTTTGTTCTGTATGGACGCAATAGATCATTCTACTATAGCAGCTTAGCCTTCGATAATTGAATTGTATAAGAATACTGAAAACATTAAAGAACGGCTTGTAAGATTGAGGATTATGGCATTGTAAGATATATACTGAAATGTAAAATTTATGGAGTAAAGTTAAGCAAATTGTTGTTTTGTAATGGTACAACTTTCCGATTTTTCTTTGTTTATATACTTTGATAAATGAATGATTTCCAAAACCTGATGCTCGCTTGAATTTTTAGCGCGTAAATTACCATAGTTTTTTTTCACTTTTTGCGCTGTATTCAAGGAACCCACCATGAACTGGTTAAATTGGGTGGTCGTTATGCTCAACTTGTTAAAGCACAACAGTTCCAACAAGATGACGATGAAGAAGTGGGGGAAAAAGAAAGAATAAATGAGGATATCAGTTTTGAGTAAATTTGCAGATCTTATTTGTTTTTCGCTGTTTTATTATTAAACTTCAATCACGTCAAAACTTATTTGCCACTGTTTTACATCTCATTAGGCTGAGGTGTCCAAAAAAAATTATTGTAAATTATTATCTGATTTTCAGCAACGAATCATCTAAACGACTGCTTGGTAAACGAGCTTCTATGATTCGTAGTTCACGTACAAGCATCATGTCTGATCATTTCGGTACCGATGCTTTTATTTGCGGTAGCATCCTTAATGACAGCTTTACAAGGTGCAATATTAAACAAATTGTGTTTACCATTAATTTTTCTACAGCAGCATTTCCTGCTTTAATGTCAGAAAAGCTTTAATAGATAAAGTCATTTGTTTAGAATTTGTTTGTTAGCAGAAAAGCTCTACACAAAAAAGCTTCATTTTCGCTGCTGAGCAGTATGTTGAATTATCCAAGATTCACTTTTCAAAATAAATTATATAAAGTTTATTTTTAAATTAGTTTTGCAGTCATTTGTCGATTATAACTTAACTGAATGAATTCCAACGCTTCTCTACAACTGGCTGTCAATTTCAGGAACAGTGTTAGTGTTTCGATGCGCGGTCCATATTTGATGGAGAACATGGTTGGTGCAGTTCCAGAACCACTACTGGAAAAAGAAGAGGAGTGGTCGCCAAGCATTTTTCGCATTTACAAAGAAGCTAAAGACAACTATTTGACTATGGTAACTATAACCTTTTTTTCGTTTTAGTGGTTAGTTACAAGACTGTAGCTAAAAATAACAATAAACAAAAACAGAAACTATTAAATTTACTTAAAATCTGTGGCTGATAATTCATAGTGAGACTTTACATTTTACACCTCTTTGAAACTATTTTATAAATTCTTTTGATCTTTGATAGTGCATGAAAGCTATAACAGAGATTAACAAACGCTGTTGGTCGACCAGATTAATACTAATAAATTTATTCTCAGATACTCGGGACGTTTTTTGCTATGGTTTCTGGTCTTCACCTGCCGTCAATATGCCTCATCAGCAAATTTATTTTTGAATCTTTTTTAACTGTAAGCTACGACGATCACATGATGCACAGATTATATATGGTAATGGTGATGTTTTGCAGCTGCGGTTTTGGAGTTGCCGTACTTCAGGCTTTTGCGGTAGGCTTTTCATACGTAATTTTTTAAAGATATAATTACTTTTGCACACTTCAATTATATTACTTTTGCTGCTCATAAACTGAGACATTTTTAGTATTCAAGTATTATAAAAAAACGTCTAATGTTTCAAAACTGCATTAATAATTTTATCTTAGAGCACTTTTTATGGAATTGCTTCTGAAAATATGGCTCTTTCATTTCGGGTGCGGTCATTTCGCAACATTCTTCTTCAAGAAGCTGCATATTTTGACCAACCAGAACATACTCCTGGAAAATTAATTACTCGTTTAGCTTCTGATGCTCCGAACGTTAAAGCCGTAAAAATTAACTTCTTGCTTATCTATTTATTTGTTATATATAGATTTGTTTTATTCTGCAATTACTTTGCGGTTTTTCGATATTGCTTTATTAATTAATGCAGGTGATTGATTCTCGTATGTTGCAAGTGGTTTTTGGTGTAACTGCGATTTCCATCAATACAGTTATTGGTTACGTTTACTGTTGGCAGGTTTTGCTTTAATTTCTTTAAATTTCTACCACTTAAAATATAAACACTTATTATAAATTCAGTTCAATTATGCTTATGTAACGAGTATTTCAGGTTACAACTTTAGGACTTACCTGTTCGCTGTTGCTTGCTGCTCTACAAATAGTACTTTCAAAAATGATTTTGAAGAAAGATAGAGAGCTTGTAGAAATTGATGAAGCTGGAAGGGTAACACTTTAGTTCATTTTTTTGCACAAACGATTTAAAAAGTATCGTTTTTATTTTGCTTCAAAAAGTCACTCCAGTTTAAAAACAACATGCTAATTTTAACATTATGCAGCAATGCCTTAAGCGTTATAAAACAACACATTAAACAAGTGGTATTATAAATGCTCATAAAAAAACAGTTATTTTTAGTTGGCTGTCGAAATATTTGAAAATGTCCAGACGATTCAACTTTTGACAAGGGAGGAAGTTTTTCACAAAAATTATGACACATCTTTGAAGCAACAGAAAAAATTTGAAATTTCTAAAGGTTGGATTGAAGCTATGAATTTCTGTGTATCTCAAACATTCCAATTCTTTATGCATATCCTCACAACTTCTTTGGGCATACACCTTATGAATAACGGTTCAGTAGCTGCAGAAGATACCTTTATGTAAGTTTTATGTAAATTTCGTGAAGAGTCTGGGACTATTTGAAACATCAAAATAGTTGAGTTTGTTTAGCTTTAGTATCTAAGAATTATTCTTTTTGAAGAAATTCTAGATTTATCTATAAAGTTTTTCCAACCAAATTTCAGCTGAAAACAATTTTTTAGCATTTGTTTTCTGAAACATCTGCTTTAAAAACGCATTTTACTGGAAATTCTAATGCCATAAAAAAAGCGATTTTTTGAAAAAGCACTAATTGTAACGTAAGTGAAACATGAAAAATCCACCTACAAAAGTATTTAGCTTCCTAATAGTTCTAAGCAGTATGACAGATTGAAACATAGTATAAATTGTTCACTTTGCTAAATTTGGAGAGAATATCAATTAAAGTGCCTAAGTTAGGAATTTACAGCTCGATTATTGCAATGTTCCTCGGTGCCGTTGGAATCATGAATGCTGCATCGTACTTTCCAGAATTTGTCAAGGCGCAGAGTGCATCGGGTTTGCTGTTTTCGACAATGAGTCGGGTCTCGAAAACCGGCGATTACAAACAGGGGGAAAAAATTGTACGCAGTGTTCTCTCACTGAGACTTTTTTCAGCTTACTGCGAGTTGTTTTAAAAGTATTTTTTCTAAACGGTTTTTTTCTAACTACCAGAGCAGTGTTTTTATAAAGTATAACTTATCCACTAGTTTTTAAAGCTATTATACATCTATAAACTACTTACTTTTCTCTTCTTATGTGAGTCAAAAACCTTATTTCTTCCAGGATTTGAAAGGTAACGTAATGTTTGAAAATGTGAGCTTCTCTTATCCCTTGAAACCAAAAGATCCAATTATGAAGCAGTTGCAATTTACTGCAACTAGGGGGCAAACGGTGGCTCTCGTAGGTCCGTCTGGTTGTGGCAAAAGTACAGCAATTGCTTTACTTGAAAGGTTTTACGACGTAGCTCGTGGATCTGTGGTAGGCATCTTGTTTATCGTTTTCTATTTA